TCAATGAGTCAGCCAGGTGGAGGCAGCGGTGGCTGGGGGCCAAGAGGGGGGGTCAGGGCGGAGCTGCAGTCAGGGAGTCGCCCAGGGCCAGGCGACAGGTGCAGCCCCGAGGGCTCTAGGTCACTGGGGGAGGGGTGTGGGCTGAGGGGAGTGGTGGGGAGGGACTGGGCTGCTGAGGGTCGAGGGAGGGGCCCCCGAATGGGAGCCCAGCTTTGCCCCTACCTCCTTCCACGACCCCAGGGTTCCCTCACCTGAAAATGGGAGGAAGAAGTCCTCCTTCCCAAGGCTACAAGGGAAGGTATCCAAAAAGGATAAGGCCCGCAGCAGGCACCAATTTCTGGAAAGTTCTCTCTCTTTTTCTTTCTCTCTCCCTTCCATTGAATACGCACCACACTCGGGGGCAGCAATGTTTGACCGGAGGAGGCAGTGGGAGGTCCCTCCTGAAGGACTGTGGAAACGAGACGGCCGTGCCCCAGTGGCATGAGGTGTGGGGAGCCCCCTGTCTGGGTGAGGGATGGTAATGGCTGACAACACGATGGTCAAGTGTTTTTGAGTATGTTTTCTCTCTGTCTTGCCTTTGCCCTCTCTCTCTCCCTCCTTCCCTCCTTCTCTCTGCTGTTGCAAAAAGATTTCGAGGTAACTGAGTGCCTACTATGCTCCAGGCACTACAGAGGGCACAAAGATGAATAAGACCCTTCCCAGTGCTCTACTTTCTTTCATTCATTCAACAAACACTTAAAAAGCATGTACTATGGGCCAGGCACAGTCCTCCCTTAAAGAACACCTTCATTCATTCAGTCAATCGGCACACACTCACTCATCCCGCGCTGTGTGCCAGACATCGAGCTGGGGGACCGACGTGGGTAGGACAAGCTTTGTGGTCCCAGAGGCTCCCGGCTAGGAGGACATGATTTCCTCAGCCAGAGGATCCGGGGTCCAGTTCTGGGCTCCCCCAAGTCCTCCTTGACAAGGACACGGTTCCACATCTGCTAAACCCTAGCAATAGGTGTCCCAGCCTGTCCTCCTTGGTGCAGGCACTGGCTTTCCCACCTGCTTCCAGCCTGGTCCCCACACAGCGGGGGCAAGTGAGCAGGATGGCTGGGTTGTCGTTCCCCAGGGGGCACTGACCCAGGCCTCGGCGCACTAACTCCCTGGGTTGGGGAGACAGCCAGGGTCAGCGTGGACAGAGTGTACAAACTATGCCTCCCACCATGTCACACAGCTCAGAGGCCAGTCTGTCTACACCAGCTGGCCAGGCCACAGCATGTGCTTGTGGTTGTGGAGTTTCTAGCCAGTTGGAGCCGTTTTGGATCCTGCCGGGGTTGCAGGGGCTCAGCTGCCCACAGGAAACCCTTGTAGGCCAGCCCGGGAGCAGCAGGCAGCCTCGAAGGGCTGGAGGGTGGCGACGAGCTTGGTGACCTAGGCCTAGCCCCCGACCCTCCCGGGTCTCAGTTTCCTCCTCCGCAAAGTAAGAATGACAGCTACACGCTTCCTAGGTGGTTTGGAGGGCCCACATGCGGTAACCACTCAGCATACGGTACTAGGAAACAACAGAAATGAAGGATGCTCAGCCTGTGCTGGAGGAGAGGTCACGACTGAAGTTTAACCAGGTGCCTTTCTGCTCGATTACACACCTACCTGACCAAACCAAAACTTAAGACAGGCCCTTGTTTCTCTGCCAAAGCCTGGAGGCTCCTTCTCTGCTCCGTGCACAGCTCTTTGCCTTCATGCCCACACAGCCGCCCAGAAAGGCCTCCCCAGCTGCCCAGGGGCTGCGGCCGGAGGCGGGGGACGGGAGAGGGACACACTGCGCGCCTGGTACAACAGGAAAATGAACAAGGGCTCAGAGAACAGTAGAAAGACAGAGATTTGGGGCCAATGGCACCCAGCACTGGCCCGTGGTGCTGTCCGCCTCGGCTTGCTCTGCCCCGTGTGGCTTCCCTGCCAGCAGCGGGGAGAAGGGCGCAGACAGGTGGGTCTGCCACCTGCCGGGGCTTGATAGCCACCATCTCCAGGCCTCACAGCCACCCTCTCTGCCGGATGGGGAAACTGAGGCTCGGAGAGGTGAGGCCCAGCTGGGAAGTGACCCCACTGGGATTTGACTTTAGGACGTGGGTTCTTCCCTTTGGCTGTTTTCCAGACCCTCTCAGATCCCAAACAAGGAACTTTCATAAGCATATGGGAGTTTTCACTGTGTGTGTGTGTGTGTGTGTGTGTGTGTGTGTGTGTGTGTTTTGTGGGGCACCCAGGTGTGTGTTATTATAAGACAATCCAGAGCTGAATCTTCTTGTAACTTCCGACAGCCTCTGCAGAGGCGGCACTGAGAACCTGAGTCCCAGACAAGTGACATCATTGCCATCCTTCCTCCAACTCCTGCATCCAGTGTTTCTTTACCAGGGACCAGTAGTCGGGCAGTACTCAGTGCCCTCAGCACCCTCCCACCCAGTGGCACATGCAGTCCTACAGGAAAGAGGGACCACTCCCCCAGATCCTCGGCATGCATTTTATAATTTAATCCTTGCCACAACCCAGCAGGGTGGGTGTTAATTCTCCCATTTTACAGGTGGGTAAACTGAGGGTCAGAGACACTAACAGACTTGCCCATGCTCCTTGCTGTCACACTAAGTGGTCCCTGGGAGGAAGAGGAGAAGCCCACTGTTGGCAGCTTCAGAGCGCCCACTGTCTTCTGTGGTTGGCGCCTCCTGGACTCCCCCCCCCACCCCCCATTTCTGGGCCTTTCCCAAGCCGTATGGAGGCTGCATGAGCTCCGCCAACCGGGCAGCAGTGACCAGTGTGGCCAACCCCACAGCACTCAGTGGCAGTGCGTGCTGGGGAGGCGGAGTGGGTTTAGGGTCAGACTCCTTTAATTTGTGTTCAAGTCTCCTTTATTTGCATGACCTTTGGTAAGTGTTTTCATCTCTCCAAGCCTCAGTTTACTCGGCTCTAAAGTGGGCATGATGACAGTGTTTACCCTGCAGGGTTTCTGCGAGGATTAGAAACCATGGACAGAAGGGCCTGGCATATGGTAGCCGGGGTCAGGATACCGCCCTGACCTCAGCCACAGGCCCACAGAGAGCCCTCAGCGGGTTTCAACATGCATCTCAGGTCAGCGGAATTTTGTTTGAATACAATCAATGTATTTCCCATTGAGCACGGAAAGTGCTTTCCAAACTGGGAACGAAAATCACAAGCAGAGTTTGTGAGCGCAGCTCTGGAAAGGCGCCCATGCTCCTGTGGTCTGTTCCCACCTGTACATCCCCATTTCTAACCCCTGGGCGCTCTGAGCCCAGCGGCAGACTGCACGGCTGGCGCAAATGTGTGGAGGCATGCATGTGCTGCCAGGGGGTCAAGGAGGCCGTGCTGGGGGGGGGGGTGCCCACCCCATCTGTGTTTTCGGGAGAGAATTCAGGCCGCAGTGAGGGTGGTGGCTGTACAGGAGACAGGACAAAGGCGCTGGCCAGGACGGCTGTGAAGGACAGGTAAGGAATGATGGGAAGGGCTGGTCCAGGGACTGGTGGGGAGAGGGGAAGATTTGAATCCTGGCTCCCCCACCTACTAGCTGTGTGGCTTCAGGTGGGTTACTTAACCTCTCAGAGCCTCAGTCTCCCCTTCTGTAAAATGGGGATAACAGCACTGCCTGCCTCATAGGCCGTTGAATGAGTGTGATATAAACCTCAGCCATCATTATGTGAGCCGTTGGGGGGTTGAATGCAGGGCTCAGTGTCTCCCTGAGGCAGGAGCTCGCTCCCAGAGGAGTCGGGGGCCTCAGAGGACGTCAGGCCATCTCTTTTTCCTTTGCTCTTCAACCTCTCATTCTCCTGCCTCCCCTCCATGTCCCGGGAGGCCACCCACACATTTTTTTTTTTTTAAATAATTTTATTTATTTATTTTTTCCCCCAAAGCCCCAGTAGATAGTTGTATGTCATAGCTGCACATCCTTCTAGTTGCTGTATGTGGGACGCGGCCTCAGCATGGCGGGAGAAGCGGTGCGTCGGTGCGCGCCCGGGATCCGACCCTGGGCCGCCAGCAGCGGAGCGCGTGCACTTAACCGCTAAGCCACGGGGCCGGCCCATCCACCCACACATTTACTGCTGTTCTCCCAGGTTCAAGCAGGGAGTGACACTTTCAAGGAAATGTCTCAGATGCTCCTGTGGGAGCCATTTGAGGACCACAGATGCTCAGCCTGGGATGGAGGAAGCCAGTGACTGCCACTACTGTTACTGACAACAACAATAATGCCAACCATGCACACTCACCGAGTTTTCCTAAACTTTCTTGTTTAACCAGAGCCTGACGCAAGGCTCAGCTCATGATAGGTATTCAATTGGTATTTGTTGAATGGAATGAATGAATGAAAAACTACCAGGGATATGCCCAGCACCATGGAAGGTACTTAATAAACGTTTTCATGGTTATTCACATTTAATTCCTATAATACACAATGAAGTGGATATTATCCCCATTCCACAGATGAGGAAACTGAGGCTCAGTTGCCCAGGGCCACCCAGCTAGCCACAGCAGGGCCAGGTTTCCCACCTCGGCCTCTCCCACGCCAGAGCCTGTCTTGTTATTACGGACCCCCAGAGGGAGGCTTGGCTGAGAGGTGTGGGCTAACAACTGCACTGTGAGCCAGGTATGGGTTGTGAAGTCCAGGTCTAGCCTTGCTTCCAGGGCACACTTGCTGTGTGACCCCAGGCAAGTCACAGACCCTCTCTGAGCTTCCATTGCTTCAATGGTGAAAGGAGGTGGTCCTGTTAGCCCTTAATAATTCATTTGTGGTGAGGCCCTGGGGAACCCCCACTTGTACATGGCCAAGAATCCACTGCCCTGAGTCCAGGCCTGTCCCAGCGCCACTCGCGTCTTCTCTCTCCAGCTTCTCTCCTGGCAGCGGCTACAGAGGCTGGAGCCAGAAGTCTAAGCCAACCACACATCCTGTGTCAGCAGAACCTGCTCATCCAGCATCACCAGACCTGCGCCACCCCAGAATGTCCCCCACTCACCCATAGACATCCAGCTGAGTCTCGGTGCCCAGCACACACACGGCATAGGTGGGCTGCTCTGGGGCCACATGGATCACTGTCCCCTGGGCCATGGTTCAGCCAGCTCGTCCCTCCGGCTACAGGAAGCCCCTGGGCTGGTTCCTTTATACCACCCAGCGGAAGCCATGAGTCAACCACGGTGGTTTGTGGCTGGAGGCTCAGCCCCTCCCCACTCAGGTCCTGGGGCGCGATGCTCAGCCCCTCCTGACCCCTGCACCTGCCCCTCGGGCCCGTATGGGTGCTGAATCCAGAATCAGTGGCAGGCTGGCTCTGTCAGTTTCCAGGGACGGGCAGCGCTCAGGAAGCCTGGGAGTGGAGGGTGCAGGTCTGAGTCCTCACACCCATTGTGCCATCCATACCTGGGGCCATGAACACCTGGATTGACCCCACCTTGCCTAACGATGCCCAACAAGGGCAGCAGAGAGGAGAAGGTGAGAAAAACAGGGAGGTTGGGAGATTTTAGGCAAGAGGTCACAGCCCGGGCTACACAAAGACTCACCTGGGTTGGGATAAATCTCCCCAGGCTGGGTCACCCATGGGACAGCTCACCCTTCTGGGGTATTTTCTGTGTGCTGGGCACCTGTCTCTGCACTTCACAGGGAATAACTCATGAAGACAAGCCTGTGAAGGAGGAACTATTATAATTCCCTCATCTCATTCTCATAGCATCTCCTGGAGGTCAGTACCATTCTTATTCCCATTTTACAGATGAAGAAACTGAGGCACAGAGAGGTTACACAGCTAGAAAGTGGGAGAGCCAGGATGTGAACCAAAGGTATTCTGCTCCAGAGTACAAGATTTATCAGCTGCCTGTCCAGACTTTATTACATCTACCACTCACTATAATACAGGGATACATGGGTTTATTATCACGACTCATTTTATAGAAGGGAAAATAGAGGCTCCGAGAAGAAAGGCGATTTGCCCAAGGTGCTGTAGCTGGTGTGTGGTGGCGCCGGAAAGGGAAGGCGGCTTCCTGACCTGGGAGCCGGTGCCCCCTGACGCTCCAAGATGCCTGCCTCTTGTGGGGCCTCTGGGTGACAGCACAGGTGGGGCCACACCTGCCGTGGGGACACTCACTCAGCCACAGAGCTGGGGTTGCACCTGGGCTGTGGGTGCCAGGCTCTCCCTGCTAGTGGGGTGATGGGTGAGGGAACACCCAGAGGAGGCACGCATGGGAATCTGGGGTGAGAAGAGTGTGTTTGGAGGGGTCGAGATTGTGTGTGTGTGTGTGTGTGTGTGTGTGTGTGTTTTGTTCATTCTGGCTGTGAAACAAAGAATTCGCCTCATTAATTAAGAGTCGTGCTGTGGGATTAAACAGGACTGAGGTCCATCCTGCTTCATGCCAACGTTTCCGTGAGGTGGGTCCTATCATGACGCCCACGTGGTAGATGAGGCCGCCGAGGCTCAGAGAAGAGAAATAATACTCCCAAGGCCCCACAACCCGTAAAGTGGGGATCCAGGATGCAACCACCATCTCTAGGCTCAAAGCCCATTTCCTGTGCCAGCAGATGATGCCGCTCTCATGCGTCCACATGACTCCTTGCACCCTGGGTCTTAATAAACCTAATTTCTTGGGCTGGTCATACAATTGGGACAAGTTTGAGCTTCTAGTGGCAGCTGGAGAAGGGAGCTTTCCATTGTCAGAGGAGGACCCTCAAAGAACCCAAATCCAGGGCCGGCCCCGTGGCTTAGGGGTTAAGTGCGTGCGCTCCACTGCTGGCGACCCAGGTTCGGATCCCTGGCGCGCACCGACACACTGCTTCTCTGGCCATGCTGAGGCCGTGTCCCACATACAGCAACTAGAAAGATGTGCAGCTATGACATACAACTATCTACTGGGGCTTTGGGGGAAAAAATAAATAAATAAAATTATTAAAAAAAAAACAAAAAACCCAAATCCAGTCCTCGTTCTGTGGATGGGAGACTGAGGCACAGAGAGGGGGTGTGACACGCCCACTGTCACACAGCATGTCAGAGGGAAGGCTGGGCTCTACCCCAAGTCTTAGGTCTCCTGGGGTAGTTTTCTTTTTTTCCCTTTTTTCTGCAGCAGTTTGGGGGTTAAATTGGCTATGAATGAGCCACAAAGAGAACAAGCCAAAAGCAGTTTTGTTAATCCAACAGCTATTTACTGAATGCTTGCTGTTTGCCAGGCGCTGTTCTGGGCGCTGAGGATGTGAAATGAACAAACAGACAGAAGTCTTGCCTTCGTGGAGCTTTTTTTCTTATGGAAAGAGACAGCCAATAAGCAACAAATAAGTGGATTATGCAGTATGTTAGCGTTATGGAAAAATGCAACGGTAGAGCAGTGTGAGAACCATCAGGAGTGCAGGCGAGGGGGGTACTGCAGTTTTGAATAGGGTGATCAGAGAAGGTGGCATTTGAGCAAAGACTTGAAGGAGGTGGCAATGTGGATATTTGGAGGGAGAACGTTCCAGGTTGAGGGAACAGCCAGTCCACCAGTGCAAAGGCCCTGAGGAAGGGACATGCCTGGTAGGTTCAAGAAACAGCAAGGACACCAGTCTAGAATGCAGCGAGGGAGGGGGAGAGCAGGAGAGCAGGTCAGAGAGAGGGGGGCCAGATCACATAGGACCTTTCAGGTTTCATGAGGACTTTGGTGTCTACTCCATGTGACACAGGGAGCCATGGGGACGCTTTGGGCAGAGGAGCTCCATGATCTGACTTGTTCAAGCAGATCACTCTGGCTGCTGTGTGAGAATCGACTGTAAGGGACCAGGGAGACACAGGGAGACCAGTGAGGAGGCTGTTGCAGTCTGGCAGGTGAGAGAGGAGGCGGGCTCAGGCCAGGGTTGTGGCAGCAGAGGAGACGAGAAGCCATCAGATTCTGGACATATCCTGACGGTACAGCCAGTAGGATTTGCGGCTGGACTGGACGTGGGGCATAAGGAAAAGAGGCACCAAGGGTGACTCCAAGGTTTGGGGATTGAGCACCTGGAAGGATGGGGCTGGCACCCTGTGAAGGGGAGGGCTGGGGGAAGGCAGGCTGCGGGCGGCGTGGAGTTTGGTCCTGGCTCTGTCACGTGTGAGGCATCTGTTGGAGTCCATGTGGAGATGTCCTACGGGGGAGTGGACACATGATTCTGGAGTTTGAGACAGAGGAGGATCACTAATCTCATCATGAGAGCCCATCCTTATGACCTCATCTGACCCTAATCACCTCCCAAAGGCCCCGTCTCCAAATACCATCACACCGGGGGCTGGGGCTTCACATATGAATTTTAGGGGGACACAATTCAGTCCACAGCAGTTCTGGACTTGAAGGCTCTTTGCAAAGTTTCAGCATCATAAACCACGCGGCGATGCATTCACTGTGCCCCTGCCTGTGGCCGTGTGCAGGGACTTTGTGGATTTCTTTGCCTCTCTTCTTGCAGAGCATTTTGTTCTTTTCCTGAAATTTGCCAGAGCTGGTCATTATGTGTACGTGTTTAAGTGTCTGTCCCCCAACTAGCCATGAGAGCAGGGCCTTTGTCAGTCTCGGCTGCAGCCCCAGAGCCTAAAACACTCCCAACTCATAGTAGGTGCTCACCAAACACATGTGGCTGAGCATCATGGTGTCTGCAGCACCCAGCCCGGCACTGGACCCATGTGTGGGGCCCCTGAGTATAGCCTCCTGCAAGACACCTGAGAACCAGGCGAGGCCTTGGGGCTTGGAAAGCAAACACCTGCACAGGAGGGCAGCTGGCTCAGAATCCGGGCCAGAAACCCCGGAGGAAGGGGCCCCCTCTTCCTGCTGAAAGGCACGATCACCAGCCCAGCTGCTCACCCGGAGGAAGCAAGGCTGGGCTGAGGATTGCCCAATGCCCTCCGGCCCTTTGGGGCCTAAGTCCCTGGGCGCCTGAGCTGACACCCCAGTGACCGGCCTGGCTATCCTCCTGCAGATGCTGGTGATGACGTCATTCTGGGAGAAGGATTCGGTGTCAGGGACCTCTCCCTGAGACTCTGAGAATGGGTACAGTGCCAAGTTGTGTTTAGAGTAGTGGCCGAGCCATTCCTTCAGTGTATTCATTCAGAGATGCAGCTCGATTCATTTACTTAGCTGTTCACTCAACAAATACTCCTCGAATGCCTCCTGAGTGCTCGGCACTTAGGCTTTGTTTAAAATAGATTTCAAGGACCCCGGTGATAACAGAGACCACCATCTATTGAACATCCACCATGTGCCACACTGGTCATCATGTCCTTGGGCTGTAGTGTTTCTGATTCTCCCATAACCCAGCGGGCAGATTTTACAGCCTCATTTCTACACAGGCGGGAAGCACCGTGCTCAGGGTCACATGACTCCGAAGTCGGTTTGAAACCCAGCTTCATCTAACACGCTCTGCTCTCTGGTGTGGCCCTTACCTGTGCCAGGCCACTGACAGGCGTCATCTCCAATCCTCACAGCAAACTTAACATTGAACTCAACTCTCCCCATTTGCCAGATGAGGCAACTGAGTCTTGGAGGGGTTAGGTAACTTCCCCAAGTTTGCGCAGACAGGAAGTCGTGACACTTGGGTTTAACTTTGCTCCTTGTCCCGTTCTGCCCACCGTGCAGCTGCCCCCGGCCAGGTCCCTTGGCCCATGAGCTCTGAAGTCCCTTCCATCAGAAAGACCCCCAGTATCTCCATAACTTGAAGTAGAAAATTGGGAGTGTCTAGATCATTGAGAAACCAGCAAATCTCCCTCTCCTACCAAGGCGTTTGTCCAAGTGCCCCGGGCCTGCAGCAGTGGGTGGGGTGGGGGTGTGGAGGGGCCTTGCTTCCTCTCTCCGCTCCCACAGCCCTGCCCCGCCCCATGCACCTCTCTCCGCTCTCTCTCACAGACACCTTCCAGACTCTGGAAGGATTCACAGGCACACAAGGGCAACACTGTCACTCTAACACGTGCCAGGCCCCACCCTGCACCGTTTAATTGCACTCACTTATGTGACCCCCCACAACAACCCATGAAGGCAGGACACCTGTCGGCGATCTACAGATGAGCATCATGCCAGGGGGAGAGACGGAAGGTGGAATACAGGCCCGTCTGCGTCGAAAGCCGGCGACCTTCCACTATGCCATCTTTGAGAAAAGGAAGGG